ACCTGCCGGGGCGGCTGGAGGCTGAGGGCCCGAGGCGGGGACTGGCGGCGGAGGACAGCTAGCCTGACCTCTCGGCCCGCCGAAGGACACGCGGTGAGGGGACCCGGGGACACGCCGGCTCCCGCAGAGCCCGCCCTCCCTCGTCGTCCCGTTGCGGGCGCCGCCCGGCCGGGTCCGGCCTGGCCCGGCCCACGGCGTTTGTGGTCAAGGGCAGGAGCAGGGGGTGTGAACGGCGGGCGCGCGGGTGCAGTGGGCAGCCGGGGTGCTGAGGCTTTCTGCACGGAACTTCGGGTACAACAGCGTGGACCTGCGTGTGCGTATCTGCGCGCCCCGAGGCTTTGTGTACAACTCGTGCGTGTGTCTGCGATTGGGTTTTGTGAAGCTTCACCCACACCGGCTGTGCGTCGGTCTAGCCTGCTGTCAGTGCGCGCAGTGGGTGGGTAGCCGGGCCCACCGGTCTTGGGTCTGGCTTGGATCTTTAGCAGTCCTAGGTGTGTGTGTATGTGTGTGTAACCATTCCTACCCCCCTTGAGGTATGGGTACCAATGTGACCTGAGGATCTGTGGGCCACACCAGATGGCTGCTGGTGTCTGGGTTCTGCATGTGGGACCCACCTCTGGGGGAGTGAGTGTGGACCTGGGCGTGCTTTTCAGGACTGTGTGACTGCAGATGAAATTGCGGGGTGTAGGGCGTGAACAGTGGGCAGGAGCATCTATGTCCATTTGTCTGTCTCTGCTTACGTTTAGGCAATTGGGCATGGCCTGTGTACCTAGTAGGTATCTCTGGGCCTGTGCATGAGAGAAACAGGGAGACCTCCTAACTCTGGGGAAGAGGGAGCCTTCTTTTTCTCTGACCCTCACTCCAGCAGCTTAAGGAAAAAGTTTTGGGTCCTGCAGGGTGAAAGAAAGCCCAGCTCCAAATTTGGGTACCCTGGGTTTCCTCTGGGAGGCAGGGATTGATGGAGGCATTAATGTCAGTCTGGGAAAGGGGTTCCTGGGCCACCCTAGGGGCTAAGTTCTGTGGGAGGTGCTGAGGGCCTAGGTGGGGGGCCCATAGCCAGAGCAGTTGCGTTGTGCCCACTGCTGGGCCCTGGCGGCTGGACAGTCAGGAAACTCTCCGGGTGCCCGTAGTGAAAAACCAACCAACACACCTCTCCTGTCTGTTCAGTGAGCATTAGAGTAGTCTGGGCAGCAGGCTGGGGCCCCAGCAGGATTGGCACATACCCCTGCCCTCCAGGTGCTCACGGTTGCTGTTAAACATCTGGATAAAGTAGAAGGTCTATGAATGAAGGCTGGCAGAGCCAGGGAAGGAGGGTGGGCTGACGACACCAGACCAGCAGCGGGTGCTTCACAGGTTTGCCAGTGAAACTAGCTCCTGCACCCAGTCCTGGTCCCCCCTCACCCATGGCTTGGAATGTTGGTCAGTTATAAAATGGAGATAGCAATCGCTGCTCTCGGGGCTGGTGAGGGTCACGCGAGATACTCCTGAGTAAAGTGCCTGGTGCAGGGCCCCACAGGTAGTAGGTGCTCAGTAAACGTTTACTAAATTGGGACTCTGAAAAGAGGGACATTGCGCTCATAATGGGTTGTAAGTGGAAGCAGGCTTTGTACTCAGATGAAAGGCCCTCTGTGTGCTGAGAGGAGGTGTCTGACGCAAGTTCATACTGGAAGGAAAGTCGGAACGATTGAAAAACGTGCCTTGCTGCCCTGAGGCTCTCTGAGTTTCATTCATTCGGTCATTTCATTCATTCGTTTGCTCCTATTCACACTCACACCGAACCACAGAGCACTAGAGAATAAACTCGGGCATAAGCACACAGAGAATCATGTACATATATGTAGATGCACCAAAGCATGTGAGTCTGCATGTAGGGGTCTCTGCCCTGGGTAGGGACTTGTGTGCCTGGGACCCTGGGTGCATGTCCCCTTAGGTCATCAGTGTGTGCCTGATATAGCCAGGCGGGCAGGAGGCTGAGGTGGCACCTGTGGTGGGAGGACTAGGTGCCTCAGGGAGGACCCGATCACGAACTCCAGCTGAGTGTTTCTCATTTTGCAAGAAATGCCATGAATCCAAAATTTAAAATATAAAACTTTTTGCTTCTTAAATATTGGCAAGTAACTCAACAAAAGTAACGGATAGATCAGACGTGAACAAAGCACTATTTCTGTGAGCCAAATACGGCCGCCGGGCTGTAGGCTGGTCCGAGTTAAGCACGTGTGCTGCCTGTCTGTGCAGTGTCTTCTCAGGTGCTAGGGTGGGTGCTCTGCTCCTTCTCACTGACACCCCTCCTGTCCTCGTCCTGGTCTCCCTCTGCTGCATACATAAAGACATTTGGCTTTAACCTCAGTCATGGCTTTTTTTTTTTTTTTAAAGTTTATTTATTTTCTCCATGAATAAGAGAGGCAGAGACACCCTCCCAGGGCCCCAACATCACCATTCAGCCCCAGCCTCGGCCAGTTCTGGACCATGGACACATAAGGGATGGTGCTGGGGCTGGCAGGTAGTGTGGTAATTCAGGGCTGGATTCCCACGTGGCCGACTGTGGTTCAAGTCCTGGGTCTGCCTTGCTTTCTCACTGTCCCTTTCTCTCTCTCTCTGGTCAAATTAAAAGATAATACTAACAAATAAAATTAAATAAATAATTCTTAAAACACACACACAAAGAAAGAAAGAAGTGCACGGTCCTGAGTGAGGTCTCTGGGACGCACACCAGCACCCTCCCACATGCGACAGCACTACAGAGCATGGCATTCTGCTGTGCACCACCGTCTGACATCTCAGTCATGGCGCTCACATCTGCTTCCTCCTCTTGGCCTCTCAGCCAGCCAGCTTCCTCTCTGGACCTCCAGCACCTACTCTGCCACTTCCCACCCACCTGGCCTGCTGCCTTCTGAAAGCCAGGCAGGCCTGGTACTGCCCCCACCAAGCCCTTGACTCCTGTGGCTCCCAGCTCCTGGCTTTCGCAGTGCTATGTGAGCTGGCCCCAGCTGCCCTCTGAAACCTCCCTTCCTGTTTCCAGAATGCCCTTATCCCTGCTCCCTCCTGGGGAGATTTCCACTCATTCTCTGAGGTCTAGCTCAAAGGCTGCCAATGCCCAGAAGCTTCTCTGACTTTCTCCTCTTTATTCCCATCATACCTTGTCATCTGCAGCCCATCGCCCTTGCCTCACACAACAGTGCCGCTCACTTGGACTGCCCAGAGCCTTGTGTGCATTATTTTATGAAATCCTCAGAATGACCATAGAGCGGAGGCAGTTTGCTTATTCCCTTTTTACAGATGAGAACACTGAATCTGAAGAAGTCACATAATTTGCCTAAGCTCAAGTGGGGAAGTTGGGATTTGAACTTGAGAGCCCCTCTGTTATAATATTAGCTCACTGCTAATACTTACTGAGCACTTACGATTCTGAGTATTTTTTTTTTAATTGTCAGAGTGTGAAGGCTCTCAGGGAAAGCGAGACAGAGAAAGCAAGAAAGAAAGTATATCCCAATGGGGCATGACCATGCTGTAATTCCTTCTCCTCCATTGCTCCATTCTGTTGGGATTCTGGGTACGCACATGAACCTGGCATACTTCTGAAACCACCAGACTGGGATTCAAACCACTGGCTACGTGGGCTCACACTTCCTTAACCACTAGGCTACAGGACTGGCCCCCGAGTACTTTATGTGGGTTGTCTCAATCCCTAAACCAGCCCAGGAAGTAGTAGGACTGGCGTTACTTTCACCTTACGGATGAAGAAAGTGGGGCCCAGAGGAGGAGTTGCCCAAAGCCACATGCCAGTCACTGGTAGAGTGGGCTCCCACCACAGACCATGCTGCTCTGTTCCTCGTCTCCACCTCTGTGCATCAAGGCACTGTGCATTGCTGACACCAGCAAGTACTGGTGGAGTTTGCTAAACTCACCTGCCTCTGTGTTCTCTTCTAGCTGCCAAGGGATGAGCTGGGCCCTCCTTCCCAATGGCATCTTTCCCTGGTCTGGAACTGAAGACACTGAGCAATGGGCCCCAAGCCCCAAGGAGACCAGCTCCTCCAGGCCCAGCAGCCCCACCCAGGCAGGGTGTGGAGAATGCCTGCTTCTCCTCGGAGGAGCACGAGACTCGTTTTCAGAACCCTGGGGATGCCAGACTGGGCAGCTCCCCCAGCCCCCCTGGGGCTGTCCCCTCACTGCCCCGATCCCAGCGGGATGATCTCTCCCTGCATTCAGAGGAGGGGCCGGGCCTGGAGCCTGTGAGCCGCCCGGTGGATTACGGCTTTGTTTCTGCCCTGGTTTTCCTGGTGAGTGGAATCCTTCTGGTGGTGACAGCGTACGCCATCCCCCGAGAGGCTCGCGTCAACCCGGACACAGTGACGGCGAGGGAGATGGAGAGACTAGAGATGTACTATGCCCGCCTGGGCTCCCACCTGGACAAGTGCATCATTGCGGGCCTGGGGCTGCTCACGGTGGGCGGCATGCTCCTGTCGGTGCTGCTCATGGTCTCCCTTTGCAAGGGCGAACTGTACCGCCGGCGAACCTTCGTCCCTGGCAGGGGCTCCAGGAAGACTTACGGCTCCATCAACCTGCGCATGAGACAGCTCAATGGGGAGGGGGGCCAGGCCCTGGTGGAAAACGAAGTCGTCCAGGTCTCAGAGACCAGCCACACCCTGCAGGGGTCTTAAGTAAGAGCCCACCGTATCTGGCTGCTTTAGCTCCAGGGCTACAAGGCCCCCAAAGGCCTGGGGTTTCAGAGCTCCGTATAGGGTCCTGTGGAAGGAGTCCCTCGGGGTTGGGGTGGGGGTGTCCTGGAGCTGGCCTAGGCCCCTCTCAGGCAAGCAGCTACCGATCTGTTTTGTAGCTTGAGGTTTTGCATAAGGTTTTGTTTGGAGGATAGCTTCTGCTGCTAAAAATACAAAAGTTTGGAAACCGCTGTCCTGGGAAGACGAGGTTTCTTGGCATTTCTGAGGAATGGGATCTGTTTGAAAGGTGGCCTGTCTCATTCCTCATGTCCTGGGGAGTTCTGGGACCTCTGGATGTCATCCCCCAAGTGAGGGTGGGGATGGCCTTTCAGCCCCTGAGCGTCTAAGGTGTGTGGTAGCTTCATGATGAGGGGAGAAGTCAGCATGGGGTGATCTCCTTCCAGCTGCCCCAGTGACTAAACTGTGACCTTCCCTGTCCTCTCTCCAGGCCTCAGGTGCCCTGTTTATAAAGTGAGGAGGTTGAACTGGGTGACCTATTCGGCCCCTCTAGGCCTGCCCTGGTCATGACTCTGACTCTGGCCACCCTTTGGGGGAAAAAGGGTGTCCACCAGGCCTGACCATTCTTGGTGCCATTTTCTGGCCCAGCTTTGGTGACCACCACCATCAGGCAGCCCACAGCCCTAACACTCTTGGTAAAGAACCCCTGGTCAGACCCAGTTTGCTACAGCTTGGTTTTGGTCTTGGGGTCTAACTTCCTGCAGTAACTAATTTTCTGACGTGGTGCATTTTACCAAGTCAAGTGCACAGTTTTGACCGGTTCTCTGGGCAAGAAGGATCTTTTCTACAAGAAAAGGTGAGGGCTTTCTGGTATATCTGTGGGCATGGTGTGGACCATTGTCACCTTCTCCTCCTCGATAGTATGTCTCTGGGGCCTGATTTTATTCTGGTAGCAGAAAACACTTTTTTTTCAATGCTGCATTTGTAACTTCACTCTCTCAACCTTTGTTGAGTGGTGACCGGGTTTGTCCTGGACACACCAGCAGGCCACATTAATTGTCACCTGTTCTCTTTCTCTTGTGGAATATTCTCAGCCTCTTTCTAAACTCTCTTTAAATGCCTGATAAAGAAAGAAAGTAGGCCCCCAAAGGGCAAGGAGACACAAGTGTTCAAGGACTGAGGGATGTCTAGATAGCTCTGAAGGGTTTCAAGAGTACGTGCCTTCTAGGCCACTGATAAGACTCTAAAGGGGTCATTTCAATGAGGCCCCTGCCACCATGCAGGTCCTATGTCCTATGTATCCTCTCTCTCGGCTGTGTGGGCTGTGGGTGAGTGTCTCTTGGTGGGAGGATGGGTTGGGTACGGGGTCTCTAGGCTGGAGAGGCCTCGATTAGCTGGAACATGAGCCTTCGTCCAGTGGCTTGAAAATCTGGGCAGTGTAGTGTTACAGCTTCTATGACAGATCAAATATCTGCTCCTGTCTGCAGCTTCTGCCAGGATCAGAGGGCTGGGAGAGGACAAGAGGGGACAAGGGTGTGTGGCTGGGCCTCCCAGGTTCTGGCATGTTGAAAAGAACAAAGCCTCAAGATGGTGAAAGAGTCACAAGTCTTGGGCTTTCGAGGATGTGTTTATTTCTCTCAGGCGCCAAGCAAGTGGGAGGAAGTGGCATGAACTACTCTAAGTAAACTACCGTAGAACTGGACATCCCATGCAGTGGGGTAAGACCCTTCAGATCCATAATGATAATAATACAAATGTCAATTCACGCCCCATGGATTACCGTGATGGTGGGGAGCTCACCTGGATGCCATGCTTGCTGAGTAGATGCGTCCGGGACCATCAGTTCACATCAGTTTAAACGCAATGAATTGTATTTAGGGCTAAATCTGTTAGAAGATTAAATCCCAGGAATCTCAGGTTTTCTCTAAACCAGAGGCGCCTGCTTTGCATTCTAATGTAAAAACTGCTTTGGAAAATGTGTATAATGGATCAAGGCGGTCATTACCTTGTCAGTGAATTAAGAAAACTTGAGAGATGCCAAAAACATTTCCCCAAGATTACAACTGAGATCTTCCAGCAGGTGGATCGGGAACAGGTGTAGGAAGGAGTAGAGGAGGAGCAGGGAGCAGGAGGCTGAGCACTTTCTTTGTAGTTTTGTTTGTTTGTTTTTTCCCCCATGGCAAGTATGACGCTGTCCCAGGAGCCTCTGGTTGCTGGAACATGCCTCAAGTTCAGGAACTGCCTCTCCTGCTGGACATGCTCCTAGGGCTGACAAACCTTGCTTTTTCTTGTGTGTCAAAACAGATTTTGACTTTGGAGTTGCTAAGACCTGGTTTGCATCCAGACTGCCATTTACTGGCTGTGTGACCTTGGCAAATTACTTTACCTCTCTGAGTTTGGGTTTCTTTATCTGTAAAGTGGGATTAATGAAAAGCCTACCCCAGGGGATGGTATAGCTCAGAAATATGGTGCCTTCACCAGGAACAATAATGCCCTGGCCTCCCAAATGGGGCCTATGATGTGATTAGGCCTGAAATCTCCAATCTTGGGGGCAGCCCTTCTGCTTTTCTTCTTCCACCCCTCACCTCCTACCCCATCCAGATCTTATCAGCGCTACCTTCAGAATCTGACCACTGTCCACCCCTCGGCTGCCATTACCTGTCCAGGTTGTTCTCTGGTGTCCCAGCTTTCTTCCCTGCCCACCACCCTCCCCCAGTTCACCCTCCACTCTGCAGCTGAAGAAGCCTGTTCAAAAGGTTGTCAGGACATGACACCTTCTGGCTGAAACTCTCCTACTGCTCCCTCCTATTCTGAGCAAAAGCCAGTCACCGCAGCCAGCGGGGGATTTACAGCAAGACGAGCAGAGCTGGGGTGTCCAGGCCCCTCCCTTACACAGGCCCTTTCCAAGGCCCCAAATTGAATCTCATATGTGTACCTTTGATTTATTTTTCTTCTTTTAAAAATAATTATTTAATTTTATTCATCATTATCATTGTTGTTATTTTTAATTTGACGAGAGAGAGAGAGAGAGAAAGCAAGCTACCACGTCTAGGACTTGAACCACAGTTAGCCATGTGGAAGTTCAGCACCCCAACCACCATGTCACCTGCCAGCCCCTGATTTATTTTTCTTAAGGATAGCCCCCTAAATTGCGTACACTTCAGGGATTCATCCTTCACAGTGGCCTCCAAGGGCCTGTGCCATCTGCCCTCTCCAACCTTATTTCCCACTCCTTTCCCCCTCCCTCCCTCCCTCCCTCTACTCCAGCCATACTGGACTCTTCGCTGTTCCTAAATCTGCAGGGCTCACTCCCACCTCAGGACCTTTGCACCTGCTGTTTCCTCTGTCTGGCAGGGACCTCCCATCAGCATGTTCAAGACCCTCACCTCCTTGGGAGCTTTGTCTAAATGTCACCTTCTCAGTGAAGCCCTCACTGAGCGTCCTATTTAAAATCAACTCCCCCCTCCCAACTTTATGCCCTCTTCCTTGCTTTGCTTCTCTCAGGCACTGATCCCCACCTGGCAGGCTGCCTCTTGTACCTGTTCAGTGTCCATCTGCCCACCAGCTCCTTCACCGGACTGCAAGCTCCATGAGGGCTGGCATTAGGCCTAACTAGCTCATGCTCCCTAGTGCTAGGAACACATAATAGGTGTTCATTGATGAAGCAATGAATGACTAGGTAGGTGGATTAATTTAACTGAGCTTTATTGCTGCCAGTGCAGCAGGATCTAATGGAGGGTGATGGGACCCCACTGCCCTGAAGTCCTCTAAGACTGAGAATCAGTCATGTAGATCCCATGTCCAGAATCACTCCGCCTCTCTGATCTGTTCCTGGGCCTTGCATCTGGAGCTGGGGAACCCATCTGCTTTCCTCTTTCTGGGCCTGGGAACAGCTGCAGGTGGAATAGTAAGAGGAGTGTCCCTGATAAGGGAAGACTCCTGACTTGTCTGGACACAGCCAGGTTCCGGCCAGACCTGGGAGACATGCGCTTGGTGTGAGGAGCCTGTGAGATGCACCAGGCTGATTCTCCCTGAGTCAAAGGTCTTAAGTGCCCAGGCCTGGGCCTTTGGAATCCCAGTGTCCGTCATCACATCTGCTCACTACCTCGGGCATCTTGCGAGTCTCCTAGTGGACAATGCCTGCTGCCTGAGAGTCACCATCATGGCTGCCTTCCTGGGGATAGGCATCCCTTCCCCTGGGATTCTCTTTACAGTGTCCTCCTCACATCTCATACACATCTACACACATGTGCACAGATGCATGTGCATTCCCTGAGTGCACACACACATGTACACACACACACACACACACACACACACACACGGGGCTCTCTCTTGTCTGACCTAGCTCAGAAGCCAAGGACACCTACTGCAATGAGTCATCCTCTGGATGATAGATAACGTTTCCTCCTTTTCCAGCGGCCATAGGCCACGCGGTCCCCAGGATGCTAACCTTACAGCCATAGTCGAGTCTCCCCTGATGTCTCTGTATCCTTCCTGCTCCCCACCTTGGGAAAGAGGGAGAGGTGACTGGAAGTGTCTCCATCCTGGCATTTCAGGAGGCCTCCCTGTGGTCCTGGGCTGGCAACCTGGTGAGCCAGGTCCTGCTGGTCACCCCTTCCCTGTGAGCCTTTGGGCAAATCACTCCACCTCTCTGATCTTCCAAAGGCAAATTGGAAACTGCTGCTCTGCTCCTCTGTAGGCTGGGGAGTCTTATACACTGCAGAGAGCTTTCCGAAGTTGAGAGGACCCATGTCTGGAGGGCTTCAAAGGGGCAGGAGGAGGGGAAGGAAGGGAGACATTATGAAGCACTCACAGGAGGAGGGGTTCTAAATGAGGTTCTGTCAAGGAGAAAGTGGGGTGTTAGTAGCACTGGCAGTCAAGGAGATGCCTTATGGCTGGGCCTGCTCGTGTCTCCTGGGAAGCAGACGCCCCCCAACGTTCCCAGGAGCCGGGTGTCAGCTTAGGGAAAGGGAGGCTGCTTGTGCTCTTGCCAGGTTGGAGTTTGGGGAGCGCCTTGTTGCTAGCGGTATTTTTGCATTTACCAATCAGGGATTGAGTGTAGTAGAGTTGGGTAGGATTTAGCCAAGAGCCTCCTTAGCTTTCCAAACCCCTCCTTCAAGGAGAGCCAGTGCTCTAGTGGCCAGAGCCTGGCTGGAGACAGAGACAGGAACAGCTCTGGCCTCCTGCTATCTTCCTGTTCTGGCCACTCCACATCGTCTGTCTTCCCAGA